GCCAGAGAAGTTTCCAGATCAAATGACATGGAGAAGCTATTTCTGTTCAGTGATGCAGCAATTTATATTACTGATCGGTCATTAGAACCCCTGGCACAAAACCACTTGTGTTTCCCGAGCCAGGACAGCGTCCGTGTGTCAAATTTCAAACCCAGGGTATAAATTAAGCCATTAATGGTATTTATCAGTTTATCTGGACTGAAAGAACTACTTACTAATTTAAGAGCTTCCCGATATAGAAGCCAGGAGGTACACTCGGCGCGCCTGGGAGCGTGCACGTGCGTGTATGTGTGCTTTCTCACTTTTATTTTACTGAACAGTGTAAAAACAATCCTGACGTGTAAATGAGGCACCGGCACCTCAGCAGCCGTCTCGCTGCTCATTCCTCACCGCTCTGCAACCCAAACATTTTGGAAGCAGCCGTGTTTTTGCAATATGTATTTGTCATAATATAAAAGGTGTAAAATGATCTCTGTTTATCTCCTCAAAGTCTTTGCTGTACCAAAACAGAAAATGGAAATGTGACAACAAAGTCTGAGCCCAGCCCGATTATGAGTGTGGCCTTCCCAAGCAACAGCTTGCGCCCATCAAGGTCTTGGGGGGTGGGGGGCAGCGAGCAAGGAGGACTCACACGCACCAGGACAGAAATCCTGCAGGTGTGCAACACACACACATGCACACAAGCAAGGAGGACTCACATGCTCCAGGACAGAAATCCCGCAGATGTGCAACACACACACACACACACACACACACATGAAAGTGAGGCTAAATGGGGTCAAAGGGTGAGATATAATGATGCCATTTGCTCATGACACTGGAATCGGTAATACTTTCTTCCACACTCATTTTCAGTATCAAGAATGCCTGTGGGACACCATACCACCACTCCACGCAACACTGCAGGTCAGCTCTATTAACTCTTAGGCATGGGACTCAGACTCAGTTTGATTCAGGGAAACCGTATCCAACCTCGAGAGGAGGACACAGCTATCAAGGTGTCAGAACTTCTTTATTAAATCAGTCATGGAGCTCCGCAAGACCACTGCCCAGGTCAGACCGGTGGGCTAAATGACTCCCTTAACTGCTTAGCCCAACAGCTAGACATGGTTCAGGGAGCTATGGAGTAGTAGGAAGGGCACCAAAGTTGGACTTGTGTCAAGTTCCAGCTCTCTACTTAGTAGTAGGCAGCTTCTAAGCTTCCATTTTCCCATCTATAAATGGGTATAATAAAGTGTTCATCTATCTTATTAAGCATTTATCTTAAATATCCTATAAATAAATGCTTAACAGTAGATGATGGCACAGGGCCTTGGGCCCCTACATGGGAGACCGGGATGAAGCTCCTGGCTTCAGGCTGACCAAGCCAGTCATTGTGGTCTTTGGGGATTTGGGGAGTGAACCAGCAGATGGATGACATCTCTCTCCCTCTCTCTGTAACTCTGCCTTTCAAATAAATAAATAAATCTTTTTAAAAAGAAAGAAAATAAATAAATGCTTAAGATATCAAAAATGCCAAGTGATATTAGCATGATTTTTACTCTTTGTAGTGCTCTCTCCCAACCCTGTCAGCTCTCCAATGACATCTGACAACCCACTTGGTTTTTCCCACTCCAAGAGCACAAGTGCTACTTTCCGCATTCTCTGTAGTCCAGCCTCTCTCTTCCTCCTGGGGCCACAGGAAGCAGTGCAGAGAGTGACAGAGGAGCTCTCCCCTGTGTGAGGAGGGATCCTGGGTGTCGCCTCTTTTTCAACCCTATACGGGTGGCAAAGCTGCTATAGTCTCTGCCCTTAGTACCTAGCACAATGCCTGCCCCACACTAGGCGGTGGCTAATGCTCCACAGCGCTGGGGGAACTTGCCCTGGCTCATACTCGGGCTGAAGGGGAGGCACTGTCAAAGCCTACTCCTTGCTCTCTTGCTCCTTATCCCACTCCTCCCCCTTTAAGAGCTCAGTTTACTCAAGCTTTATTGGGCAAGACACGTGTGGAGTACTGAAAGTCAGCCACGTTTTCCTCTATCCAAGCAGGTGTGCCAGGCAGCTGACCTCCCTCTGGTGGACTCTCCCTTGTGCAGCAGGGAAGCCCCAAACCACAAGGACTCTGGGTCAAAGATGAGTTCTTGCACCAGCCTCAGGTTGCTCACTTTTTTCAAGAACAGAGAATACTGCTGCAGTGGTCACCACCTTATTCCCAGCATGTGCGGGGTCCATAAGTGGTGCTTAGTACGGGTCTGGAGTCCACGTGGTTGTAACCTGCCCAGGTACTCACCACTTGGAGGCTCGGTTTTTCCCCTGCCCCTGGATGAGAGGGCAGCTTGCTCCACGCTTCTACAGTTTAATCCGGATGGATGGCATGAAGCTGCCTGGCAAAGCTGGCTCACAGCTCAGTCTCCCCAACTCCCCAAGTGAGAATTTCAGAGTGGGATTCCAGGTACAAGTGGTCTCACAGTAAGAAAGTGGCTGGCACCCTGGGAGACCTGGTGTGCCCCTGGCTTTCATGACAACCAGAGCTACAGTCCTGAGCATCATAAGGTCAGACAGAGGAGTGAAGAAGCCATTGTGCACCCAGCCAGTTGAGCCTCCAGACGATGGCAACCTCAGCCACCACGTGACTGCAACCCAGAAGACAGACTTCAAGTGAAAACCGTCCTGCAGAGCCCAGTCAGCCCGCTGGACTGTCAGAGCTAAGGGCACTTTGCTGCTTTAAGCTGCCATTGGAGTTCAGACAGTCCCTGGGGTCAGTGCTTAACACAGGAGCCACAGCAATCTTTGATACACATAAATTGTCATGTTTCTCCCACTCAAAACCCTCCAGCAGGCTTTTTTTTTTGTCATGCTTCTCTATAAATGTGTGTGTACATAGATAAAGAAGTATGCATGTATACTATATCTCAGCAAAGCTATGTCTGTATGAAGTGGTACATGTGATGCCAGTGACATGGCACATAGCAAAGCTCATTTATAGACAAACACACATGCACCTGACAGATACTACACACACCATTCAATATGTAGCATATGCTTTTAAAGTTATAGTTCAGTGGATTATAATATATTTGGAGTTGTGCCACCACCACTACAATCAATTGTTAAGTATCTTCATCACTCCAAAAAGAAATTTTGGCTCCAGCATCAGTCGCTCCCCATCCACCCCTCTACTCCCCTAGCCTCTGGCATCTACTGATTTACTTTGCACCTCTCTGGGTTTGCCTACTGCAGATGTTTTACTTGGATGGGATCATAAAGTGTGTGACCTTTCCTGCTTGGCTTCTCTCACTGGGCAGGTGAGTGCTCACCCATCCCTACTGTAGCATGAGATAGTGTCCACTCCTCTCAATGGTCAAATCCTATTCCGCTATATGGACACGCCACATTTGCTTAATCCATTTATCAGTTGATAGACATTGGGTTGTTCCTATTTTCAGCTATTATGAATAAAACTACTATGAACAGTCACGACCAAGTTTTTGTGAGGACATATGTCTTCCTATCTCTGGGGCATACATACACCTAAGAGGAACTGCTCTATCATATGGTAATTCTATGTTCAACTTTTTAAGGACCTGTTTTCCAGAGGGGCTCCACCATCTGCCCTCCTCTCCCACCATTCGCACTCACTGCCTGATCTCTGACCACATTGCCCTTCATGCTGTTCCTTGGACCTGTCCGGCTCAGCCCAGCCTCGGAGCTGCTGCAAGCACCTGTTCACTTTGCTCATCCTTTCTCACTGCCTCACTTTAGGACCCTGCTCAGATAATCACCTTCTCAGACAGGCCTTCTTCCCTGACCATTTTTCCAAAACACCCATGTTCTCTCTCTCATCCTCTACCTCTTATCCTGCATTGTTCTTCCTAGTAGCACTTATTATAGCCTGATGTTACAGCATAGTTATTTGCTGACACTGGCTCTCAACTTTCAGTTCCATGAGGGCCAGGAATGTTGCCGGACTCATATACTGCCCTATCTTCAATGCCTGCCGAGTGTTGGACACCTGGTAGGAACTCAATAAATATTTATTAAACACAGCTACTACTTTTTGCTAAGTGCTAACTGTAAGCCAAGCATTTTGTAAAGTGCCTCGAATAAAATATTTCATCTCCACAACAACCCTATGCTATGAGGTAGACACTATTGTTATTCCATTTTTACTAAGAAACTCAAAATAAAAGAGTTTAAATAATTTATGCATGGTTCCACAAACAGGAAGTGGTAGTGGAAATTAAACCCAGGCCGTCTAAGCCCTGAACTACGAGGCTCCACCCTACTCATCCCTACTGCAGACTGTGGCTTTCCCTCCTTTGAGCCCCAGTCTCCTCGTCTATGACGTGGGAACAGTGACTGAAGGAACTGACCAAGCGGGATCACGCACAGTACTGAGGACAGTGGCTGGCACACCCTGGGCACTCGGCAAGTGGGAGCTGCCACGATGATGGCACCAGTTACAATGATGCGAAGATGCTGATGCTGTGAATCAATGCTGTGGCATCCAATCGAGCTTCGTCATCATTAGCAAACGTGCTTAGAAAACATGCTTGTGTACGTACTGATTTCCTGCAGACAATGGCTCAAATCTTGCAGAGGGAAAACCAGCCCACTGTGGCCACACAAGAGTTTCAGAATTTTTTATCTGATGGATAATGAGAGGTTCCTTAACTGTTCACCAAGGCTTAGCTCACATCACGGACGGCCTAAGGCCTCAACAAAGGCATAGTAGGTGCCTCCATGAAGAAGAAAGCTCGGGGGTCTGTTACAGACAGAGGTCTCAGCCTAGATCCCAGGAGCTCTTCTTACGGAGCAAGGTCCACACTTGCCAATCCCTGCCCAGCCAGCCCTGCACAGGAGAGCAGCTGCTACTGGCAGAAGCCCAGCCCCACTCACGGCTCCTCCAGAAAATGACTGGCTACCCCGTTTTCTACAAGGAGACTGCCCCTGAGATACTTCATACCCATGTGCTCTTGGCCTGTAGGATACCTGCAGAACGGGAAGCAAAGGGAACTCACCGGTGTGGGTCTGCCTGTGCGTCTCCAGGGCGTCCTCCTTGGAAAACTGGGCTCCGCACTGATCACAGACAAAGGCTTTGGCACCCGCTGAAAGGAAGGAGAGGCCATTAGCATGAGGGCGATACTCCAGTAGCACAAGGCGGGTCCTGGCCACCATCACAGGACAGGAAAGAGGGCTGGTCACTTGTGAAGACCCACAGTAGGGAGTGATGTGTGGCCCCGGCAGCCGGCCCAGGCCCTCATCCAAGAAGTAACCACCCACCTAATTTACTCTCTGCCCTTGTCCAGGGGTCACCCAGAGAACAGGGACACAATCAGAACACCCAAGATGCACAGGGAGGAGTCCAGGCAGGACACCCCAGGAAGAAGGGGGATTCTGAAGGGCCAGCTCCAGGTAAGGACAGAAAGGAGTAAATGGCTCCCACGACGGGGAACTGGCACCCTGCGGCCTACATCACGCTTTAGGGGAAGGCAGAAATTGCTAATACATCTCTGCTTGGATGTCCCCAGAACTTCTGACGTGGCGGATCCAAAACTCAATTCCCCAGCTGCCCCCAACCACCTACACCTGACCCTTTAAACCCTGAGTGCCTTGAGTTCAAGCCCAGCCCCTGCCTCACTTCACCGCCTCTCTGTGTGCTCAGCTCAGCTCTCCTGTCTTTCACACTCCACTGCTGTTTCTACTTCTTCTCCCCTTTCCTTGTCACTAGGCCTCCGCACCTCCCACCCATCCTCTGCCTCTGACACTCTCCCCTCTGCCCCTGGCCCCTGGGGTGTAGCCGGAGCTTCTGCTCATTGCAGAGGCATCAGCTGCAAGACCTGTGCCTGGGTGAGGCGACCCTTTCTGATGTCCCATTGCACCCTGTATGACCCAGATCACAGCCCGGGCCATGCTCTACTCTAAACACCTGTGGGCCTGTCCCTCTCTGCAACCTTATTCAGGACGCTGTCACCTTGTGCACAGCTGTCTGCCTGACACACATGGAGCTTGTTACCAAACACATCCTGTGGATAAACAAAACCAACTCGGTGCACCTCCGTGTAATAAAACTGCTTAGAACCACAATCTGCAAGGCTCAACGTGACAACACCACCGGGGCAAGACCAAACAGTGCTTTCTACCATTGCCTAATAGTCTTCAAGACTCTAACACGGCATCTAATCCCAGGGTCACCTGTCACAAGCCTTAGCGTTTTCCCTTCCAGTGTCTTCTCGAGGGAGCTCTTCTACTGCATTTGGAGAATGGCCACCCCCTCCAGGCCTTTGCGGTGTTATGTCTTGCCTGCAGCACGCTAAGACTCTAGGGGTTTCCACACCACCAGCTACCCTGGGATGCACCCACCAGTTGCGGGCTTCTTGAAGGCCAATTTTCACACGTCCTCATTCAAGAAGATGCGATGGCTCACACCGAGTATGAAGTCTCTACCTGGCCCCAAGACCTCCTACAACCCACGTCGGGGAGCCGTCGAGCTCCACAAATAGGCCGTCCCCCCTCGCCCTCTCTGAATGGGGCTCGGCCCTGCAGGAATCTCCCCGCTCTTCCACCTATTCCAAATCCATGCAGTTTCTAGGGCCAGAGTGTGTGGACACTGCTCCCCAGACTCTCACTGCTCCACCCTTTCCCATCTGCACTGTACCTGTTCCTTTCAACCTGCCTCAGCACCCCCCCCCTTGTTTTTTACTGTGCCTGTGTGTTTTCTGTATCAGAGCCTCCATAGAGCCAGAACTACTTCTTACACCGAGTAGCAGTCCTTAGTACTAGTTTCAAACCACCACAGATTTCCCCAGGCTTTACTACATACCAGACATGATGCTACGTGCTTAACGTGTACCATAACCTAACAACAACCACTGAAAGTACACTCCACTGCGACACCCACTTAGCACACGGCTACACTCAAACGCAGAGAGGTTAAGGACTCTGCCCAGTGTCACACAGTGGGTAGCAGTGAAGCTGGGCTCAAACCCAGGCAGCCTGGCCTCAGAGCCCTCACTCTGGATCCCTCTGCCCTCCAGACCCCTTACATGTGCAAAGATGCATGCAGAAAAGGGTGGAGGCCCTGCTCCCTCTTCTTGGCTCAAACAGGAAAGAAAAGGAAACCCAATTTACCATTTTATACATCGGGGCTTTGTGTAAAATTGGATTTGGAAAAATGGTTCCACTACTTACAAGTCTGAAAACCTGTGTCTTGGAATATTAGCAGACACTTAAGGAATATAACTCACGAGGCGCACTGTATAAGCACAGACTTAAACGGCGATGGAGCGGGCGATCTGGCCAGTGGAGCACGTGAGAACCCTCCTGCAGGTCTGGAATGTGAGGTCCTACGAGGACACGGACTGTGTCCATCTCATCAATGCCCAATTCCTAATGACAAGCAGGATGTAGTCTAAATAAGAGCTCAACAAATAAGAGTTGTCTGAGTGAATAAATGAGTGATCAAGTACCCCGAGGAAGACACGAAATTGCTCTTCCTGAACAGCATTAAAAATAAATATTGTCATTCGTCTTAGGTGGCTAGCATTGAATTTCACCTGGTGGCAGGGAGAATCTCATGATGACCTCTGGGTGTCCCTCCAAGCTGCAGGCCACCCTTGGCCAAGCACCTGGTGCGTGGCTCACAGAGCTTTGAAGAAGGAGCCAAGACAATTCCTACCATGGATGACGTTGAGGCAGCTACACTGTGTTTGCAGAGGTAGCCGTTGGGAGCACGTTCATCTCCAAGTGCAGAGTGGGCCAGGGTAGGGAAGTGGGGGCTGGAGGCAGCTGCGCTTCCCTCCAATTAGAAACGACACCCCCCCCCCCAAGTCCCAAATCATTAGGTACCAATGATTTTCCGTGGATCTGCAAGGGATCTGATTTTCATCGTATTTCTTTCTTCGCTTGGCCGTTCTCACGGCTCCCTATAGAAGGGGTGGGGGGCAAGGAGGGGAGCGTAGGCTGGGAAGGGACGGGCGCCCGTGGGCTCAGCCTCGGGCCGCAGCCCTGCAACCCAGCGAGATGCCTGACGATATGAGGGCTTCAAAGGGCGATGGGGTGGAAGGCTTCTCGGAAAACTGCCACCCGTGCCCCTGTAGCAGCTTCTCTCTTTAATGACTGCGAGGCAGAGAGAGAGGAAGGAGGGTGGGTAGGAAATAAAGGGCCGGATGTGCGCCAGCAGACAAGTTCAGATGAAGATGTGCACACGGTGTAGTCCAGGGTGCTGGCTGGGCCCACGCCTGACCACATCTGGTCCCCTTCAAAGCCCTCCCCACTCCACCCACACGTGCTGAAGTCATGGAATCAGGTTGAGTGTGTGAAAGTGCCCTGTCCTCATCACACGGGGAGACTACAGCTGCTGGCTCCCACTGCCAGCCCCGATACTCCTCCTGCCCCCACCCACGGAGACTATGACCTCCCCCCGCCCCCACGCCAGCTCTCCAGGGTGAGCCAAGCAGCAAAGACAAGCACTTCTGCAGCTACAGGAGCCTAGCAGAGAGAACCAGACGGAATTCTCTCTCCCAAGCACGCTGGTGCCTTTAAATTGTCTCCGTAATGGCTGGCTCAGAGGCAGAAATATTTGGCAGCCCTGAAATTAAAAGTGATAAATTTCCTCGCCAAGCTTTGATCGATAATAGAGGCCTCATCTGTTAATCAATAAGACAGTCTCTGCCTGTTTACTGTGCATATGTTGTTCGCTGCTGCCTTCAGGATGATGTCAGGTTTGCATTCAAAGCAACTCGAGTGTGTATAAACCACATGGCTATTCCCAAAATGCATTACGGTGACATCATGCAGCCGCTCATACATTTATAAAGCATCAATGGCGGGGTGGCAGGGGAGGGGAGGAGGTCATGCCAGCTGAGCACGACAGGTGCACGTGGACCTAGGAGGGGCGTTTACTCCACAGCATTTCCTGGGGCTCATCCTGGAGAGGGGAGAACTCTGGGGATGCAACTCCGAGACGGCCAGGACCCCCTTATACCCTTCCTGCACACGGGGGCTGGTGCTGGGAGGTGCACTGAGTACAAAAGGGAGATCACAGAAAGCAAACCAAAGAGATGGAATCTTGCCCGCATGGAGCTTGCAGTCCAGAGGAGATGGCTGGCTTTTTTTTTTTTAAGCAAGCAAATATAAGGGAGGCCTGGTAGTGATAAGTGATCAAGAAAGGAAGAGGGATAGAGGATGGCACAGGCTACCATTTTACATGAGCGGCTGGGGAAGACCTCTCTACAGAGCTGATGTCAGATGAGAAGTGAAGGCAGCAGGAAACTCTCTGAAGACGTCCACTCCAGGCAAAGCAGAACAAGGAGGCCGGCAGGATGGACAGAGTCGGGGAGGGGCCAGTGGGAGACAGAGGCAGGGCAAGGGATCGACGGCAGGTAAACACATTTTTTATTAAGATTTATTATTTGAAAGGCAGAGCTGCAGTGGGAGGAGATCTTCCATCCACTGGTTCACTCCCCAAGTGGCTAGAACAGTCAGGGCTTAGCCAGCCCAAAGCCAGGAGCTTCTTGCAGGTCTCCCACTCGGGTGGCAGGGGCCCAAGGACTTGGGCCATCTTCTACTGCTTTCCCAGGGCATTAGCAGATGGGACTTGAACCGGTGCCCATATGGGAAGCTGGCATCACAGACGACAACTACCTGCTATACCACGATGCCAGCCCCTAGGGAGAGAAATTAAACAGCAGTAGGAGCACAGCAGGAAGATGAAGTGAGCTAGCCTCATGCCATCCCCTCTAGGAATCACAGATCCCAGTGAACCCAGGAAGAGAACAGCCAATCCAGAGCCAATCCAGAGCCAATCCAGGGAGAACAGCGTTTCAGAATTGACTTAGCTGCTCACTGATGTGGACATGACATCAGTCATCACGCCTCAATGAGCCTGTTTCCAATCTGTAAAATGGGCTTGAGCCTATCTGTCTGCCTCACAGAGGCTGCTCTGAGGACCACAGGAGGCAGGGATGTTACTGAATACCAAACTCCTTGCTAATCACAAAGTACCCTGCAGACATGAGACTCGTATCACTGATGCTATGTGTGCCTCCGGAGGCAGTGGTTCGGGGTTAAGAACCCTGGGTTCGAATCCAACAGAGCAGAGGTCAAA